GATCTTTAAAAAAAAAATCACTTCTTAAGATATAGGTAGGAGAAATTATTTTTAGAGAAACGCTTGTGTCCATCAGCTTTGCCGCAAATATAGGATTTTGTCTAACAGTGTTTCAAATATTTGCCAAACTAACAGGACTAATACACTACTGCAGTATTAATGAAAAAAGAGATCTCTAAGATTTATCTCCCCAGGTTTAATTAATACTTCAAATAATAATCTAGGTATTTCTGTGAAGGGATTTAGCACATGGAATTAAAGCTATTCATCAGCTCATCTTAACAGAATTATCCCAGATCATCCTGTATGCCCAGCACGATCAAATGGTTCTTGTTGGCAGAAAGCAAAAAAGTAAAAAATACAGGAAGCATAAGGACAAGCCTGGTCACTGCTGACTGAAGACGGATGAAGGAAAACCAGAGGTCACAGGCTCCAGGCAGTCTCTAGCAGTGAAGAACCACCTTGAGATGAACTCATTCCTGAGCCCACATGCAAGTGATTTATGCCAATATCCTCAAGTCAGTCTGGGTTGATTCATACCCAAACCTATAAAAAGGAACATAGACCTGCTCACCTAAGCTATGAGAAGAGAACTAAGTAATGCCTACACAACTGACCTACCTGAATTGAGAGAATAAATCTGTTATTTTAAGCTCTTATGTTTGTGATAATTTGTTATAGCAGTTACAGAAAACTGTAACAGACTTTAGTATAAGTCAGGTGAACCAATACATAAAAATATGAAAGTAGAGCAAAAGTTTTTTAACAGTATGACAAAAAAAAGCCTGAAGTACCTTGAATAAACTATTAGCTAAAATCAAGACTAAGTACCCTGTCCATGAGTACACTGCAAGAATAGAGGATCTAACTCATAGTTGGGTGATGCTTCTGTTATCAGTTCTAACAATCTTCACTTGTACTTGGAGGGTTTGGTACCTTTCATTTCCTGTAACTGCTGTTTTGGTTAATTTTAAATGTAGTCTTGCATTGCTTCTTAAATTCCACTCTTTTTGCTACAGGGTTCTTCTTTTGCTCCTTTCCTGCCTTCTTTTCATATCACTACCATTCTTAGTTGGATTAATTGCTACAGTAGTCTCATAACTGGTCTTTTGCCCACCTTAGCACCTGAGACCCAAACCCTTCTCACAATAACAGCACCCTCATTCTCTTTCCCATTTTTCTGGATAAATACAAGTCATTAGAATGACTTACAAAATCATGTCAGAAATCTGCCCCTATTACCTCTCCAAAATCATTTTCTACTATTCTAAGTTCATATGTTCACTCTTTCCATTTTATACTCACACAGAGCTCCTTTTTTAAAAAAAATGATTCATCTGAAACGCAGAATGACAGGGAAAGCGAAACACACAGACTCACTTCCCAAATGGCCCTAAATCTGGGGCTGAGACAACCCAAAACCATGGGCCAGAAACTGCATTCAGGTTTCCCAGAAGGGTGGCAAGGAACCAAGTAGTCAGGCTATTTCTGTTGCTTTCCAAGAAACTTAAGAAAGGAATGGTTCAGAAGCAGAGTAGCTGAGTCTCAAACTGGCACTCCAAAATGACACTGACATTGCAAATGTCAGCTTAATTCACCACACCACTAATTTCTTATTCTTCCTTAAAATTCTATGTACCCTCCTAACCACTTCAGAAACTTAAAACTTGCTGTTGCCTCTGTCTAGAACACTCCTTTTTAAAAAAGGAAATATGTGTTATTTATTGTAATTTGAAAGGTGGAGTAAGAGAGCAAGCAAGCCAGGGTAAAATCTTTTGCCTGCTGATTCATTCCCCGAATGGCCTGTAATAGCCCAAGGCAGGACAAGCTGAAGTCAGAAGCCAAAAGCAAGCAGCCAGGCACTCCATTGTGTCTCCCATGTGCATCAAAGGGACCCAAGTACTTCTACCATCATTTGCTGGTTCTCATGGTGCTCAATGCAGAAAGTCAGACTAAAACCACTGGCACAGTGGCTGAATTGCTTAATCCACGACCTCCAAGTGCTGGGATCCCATATGGGCAAAAGCTCATGTCCTGGCTGTTCCACTTCCCATCTAGCTCTCTGCTTGTGGCCTGGAAAAGCAGTAGAGGATGGCACAAAGTCTTGGGACCTTACACCGACGTGGGAGACAGGAAAGAAGCTCCTGGGTTCTGGCTTTGGATGGGCTCATCTCTAACCACTGCAGCCATTTGGGAACTGCAGCAGTGGAAGGAATATCTTTCCCTGTATTTTCTTCTCTCTTTAAATCTGATTTCCAAAGAGGAGTAGCTTTAGAAACTCTGGTACATTTACTCTGGAATATTATTCAGCCATTAAAAAGAATGAAATTATATAATTTGCAACTAGATGCACCCAAATAGAGACTATTATGCTCAGTGAAATAAGTCAATCACAAAAAGAGAAATACCATATGTTCTTTCTAATATAAGGAATCCATCATGTAAATTGGAATGTATAGTGGTGGAGTAATGGAGACTACCATATCCAGAGCACACAATGCAACATGCATCTCTGCTTCCAAACAAAAGATGGATTCCCAACAAAAGTGTTGGATATATCTAGACAATGGGACAATGGACTGTCTGACATTATCTATACCAGCAATGTCAGGGCACACTTAAATAGTAGACTGATAGAATTATAACTCCTTATGAAGAGCTGTGACATTATGGGAAAAATCAATCAGGTGAGTGGAAAATGGGGGCAGAGGAATCCCAAACTATACAAAATTGTATGATAAATTTCAAAAATAACAATTAAAAATTTTAAAAATTTGAAATACATATATTAAAAAAAAAGAACCATAAGCAGACTGAATCCCAGGCACTCTGATATGGATATAGACATCCCAATGAACAGCTTGATCTACTGTATCATAATACCCACACCTCTCAAACATTTTTTTCCTGCTTCCCTTCATTTTTCCAACAAAATCTTACTTTTTCCCTAACAACCTGTGGCAGACAGAATAATGACTCACAGAAGATGCCCAGAAACTCATCCCCAGAACTTGTGAATGTGCTGCCTCACATGGTAATGGGAAATTAAGAATGTGGAAGAAATTACAACTGTGGGGAATGTGGGAGCATCCAGCTCACTGGTCCAAGAAATCACCTGTCTAGCCCTGCCAGAACAACCAGACAGGAGTTAAAATTCAATAAATACAGAAGGCTAACTTTATGTTGACATTTTGTATGGCCTGGCAAATTAATATCCAATTGTCCCTGGATTAAAAAAGGTTCCCAAAAAGGTACTCTTCTACTGTTGGTCGAAATGTGAACTAAAGCAAGATGAAAGGTGAAGATTCCTCAGGTATCTGAAAACAAATCTGGTCAGGTTACCACAGGACCATTGTCCACTTCTCATAATTTATTCAAAAGAAATAAAATGAAATCAGTATATCAGAGTTATCTGTACCAATGCTTAAAGCAGCTCAATTTACAATAGCTACAATATGGAATCAAACCAGAGTCTCTTCAATGGATGACTGGATAAAGAAAATGTGGATTTTATTTGCCATGGAATACTACTCAGTGATTTTAAAAATTGCAATCTTGTCTTTACAACAAAATGTATGCAACTGAAACCATTAAGTTTCATGAAAAGCAGCCAGTTCCAAAAAGATAAGTATCTTGTTTGCCCTATTCTGTGATAACCAATAGACAAGTACAAACTCGTAATCCATAGGTTCAAGAGTGACATTCTGAAATCCAACTATTGTGCACAGCCTTTATTTGCACATCTGAGGAACAGGAGATTTTTTTGTTTTGATTGTTGTTGTTCTTTGTATTATTATTTCTACTCATCAGGTATTAACAGCTTTACCTAATGGAATGTAAAACCTGATTACGAAACAAAATCAAAGGGTTTTACTGTAAAAACCAGAGAGAAAAAAAGAAAGAAGAGAGGAAGAGGGCAGGTAGAAATGAGGGAAGCAGGAGAGGTAGGCTGGGAAGAACGGTGAAGTTCCTCTCTGGATTGTCCACTTTAGATAAAACAATTTACACAAGCAAAAGGGGTTCCCCTTCACTAAAGTCTATTCAGGTGATCTTAAAATAGAGCTTATCCCAAATTATCCAAAAGGGTCCAATAAATAAATAAGGGCTCTTAGAGAGGAATATATAACTAGAAAAGAATGGTCAGAGATGCAAAATTGGTGGCCTTGCATATTAAAGGGTTCACAAGAAATATGAACAACTTCAAGAAATTAAAAATAAAAAAAAATTTTAACAAACATAACCTGACCAAAAACTTGATTTTAGCCCACTGAGACTCAATCCTAACTTGTGACTTTCAGATCATTAAGGCAGTATATCTGTATCACCTAAAGCACTTTTTTTTAAGTTTGTCATAATTTGGCAGCAGAGAACACTAATACAAGATTCAGTATGACTGTTATTAGCACTTATTAACAATCTTATAATTAAGAGGTGGTAACCTTTTAGATATAATACTATCTTACACTTGATAGTCCACAGTATAATGTAACTTTTATATGAGCTAGGAAATCAAAAAATTAGTGTGACTCACTTTATTGTGATATCTGCTTTCCCATGCTCTGAAACCCAACTATCTTCAGAACATGCCTGTTAACTGCCCTAACTGGAACAAGCTCCTGTCCTGTTCTCCCCTTCACTGCCTTTTTCCTCCAAAAAATACATTACATCCTAACTATTACAACTTCCTTTTCTGCCATAAATGTAAACTCTGAATATAGGCTTCTTAAAGGCAGAGATTATCTATCTTACTCATTTTTTTCCACAACCTGGTACACAAGCACTCAAATATTTACATTTCAAAAACATGTAAATAAGCAATCTTCTAAAAAAATATATAGACTATCCCATAAATTTAGAAAATCAAAATGCTAAGTATTTATTTTCTGAATACAGTTTGAGAACACCTCTAAGTTGAAAATAAAGAAGTTTTGACAATTATCACTAAATATCTCAAATTATTTTCTCTCAGTAGAGCACAGTCTTTGGAGTTGAAAGCTTACCTGTTCCTGAAGTAGGTGTGGTAACTCCAACAACAGGACTCTGCATTACTGAAATATTTAGCTACACACAAAAAAAAGAAAGAAAATGTCAAAAATGCAACTTTCTAACCATAAATTGCACCTGCTATGAACTCAGCTAACTGGAGAACAAACAATGTGCATTTCCAACAGTTAGCTGAATTCATAGCAGGTGCTAAAGATTCTTAGCATCCAATGGTATTCTCAAAATTTTTTTTCACATTGAGCAGTATTAGCCCAAAATATGTGAGACCCTTTAGAATATTGTAACTGTCACACTAGGTTAAAAAAGAATTTCATATAAACAGTATAAACAATATGAGAAGACAATGATAAATCTTCAAATCACCAAATTCAGAGAAAAACAGAAAAGTAACAATTTTATTCTTAAATATTCACTAATCATGACATTTTACAGATTCTAATCAGTTTAGCCAATGCCAGTATATCACTAACACTATGAGCAGAAATATATAAAACTAATGAATTAAAAATACTAGTCATTTTAAGTATGAGAAAATATATAGCAGTTCAAAATCCTATAAATCAAGACAACACAATGCAAATAAAAAAGTGAGGATGGGACCAGCAGTGTAAAAATATCTCGCACTACAGTTCCTGGAATTCAATTCCCAGTTCTCCCTACTGATACCATCTCACTGATGAAAATGCTGGGAGACAGCAGTGATGACTCAGTAATTTGGGTTCCTGCCACCAACAAGCATTCCTTAAGCAGGCATTTGGGGAGTGAACCAACAGATGGCAGCACTCACTCACTCAAGCACAAGTACACATAAGTGTCTTAAAAGAGAAATAAATACGTAAGGACACTTCAAGTCCATGGAAAACAGAATTAAGTGTTTATTTTCGTGCAACATTACTTAACAGTGCATTCAAAAGAGGGGTCTTCAAAAAAGAGGGGTCTTCAAAAAGCTCATAAGAACACGCCCACTATGAAAAATAATACAAAGAATAAAACTCATTGCACAAAATAATTCTATTTTTCTAGTAACTTTTTCAAGTTCCTGCATACAGAACTAATGTTTTTAGAAAGACTCTAAAGAAATCTGAACTGTTGCTTTATCCAGCAACCAGAATCAAGGTTAGGAGATAAAAAATGAATATTGTTTTTAAGATTTATTTATTTGAATCTCTTAGCAGGGAGGGGGAAGGACAGAGAGGGGGGATTGACTGATTGATTCTGTTAGTTCATTTCCAACACAGCAACAAGAAGCCAGGAGCCAGAAGTTTCCTCTGGTTCTCCTGCCCAGGAGACAGACCCAAACACTTGTATCAATTTCCACTGCTTTTCCCAGGTCACTCACAAGCAGCTGAATACAAAGTGGAGCAACCAGGAAATGACCCAAAGTAGGAAGCAGCTTTACCCACTATCACAACACAGGCCCTTCTGTTGAATTTTTAACAATTTTTCCATGATTACAGAAGCCAAGCAAAGTCTCAGAGGTTGTAACTACCATGGGCTCAAATCTAGCAATAATATTCAAGTCAAAAACATTTTCTACAAATAACTCAGAAGTCTTTTGAATACAGCAATAGCTGCAAGCTTTCCTTGTATGCATCAACTTATTAGTAACGAAAACCAGCATAATCTCTTTGGCTATTTATTTGAGAGACAGAAAGGGGGAGAAGGAGACAGAGGGTGACAGAATGGTACAGAGGGAGGAAGGGAGACAGAGAACACACAAAGAGCTCCCATCAGTTCAATTCCCAAAAGCCCACAAGCACCAAAGGCCAAGAAAAAGAACTCAACAGAGGCCTCTCTCGAGGATGGCAGGAGCTCACTACCTGCACCGACGCCTCCCTTGAGGATGGCAGAAGCTCACTACCTGTGCCGAGGCCTCCATCGAGGATGGCAAGAGCTCACTACCTGTGCTGAGGCCTCCATCAAGGATGGCAAGAGCTCACTACCTGCACCGAGGCCTCCATCGAGGATGGCAAGAGCTCACTACCTGTGCCGAGGCCTCCCTCTAGGATGGCAGGAGCTCATTACCTGTGCTGTCACCACTGCCTCACAGAGTCTGCATTAACACGCTGCTGAATCAACTGCTTTCCCAGGTTACATGTAAGGAGCTGGATGGAAAGTGGAGCAGCCAGAACAAGAAAAGCTGCACATATGGGTTTGTGCAAGGCAAGCAGTTAGCCACTGAGCCATAACCTCATGCCAGGCCCTTCCATGCACATTTTAAAAGTATCTTAGAATATTCACCATGGTACAATCAAAATATTCCAAAATGTAGTCATTATGAAAAATTTAGGTACTTTATATGAAGTCTTCAAATTCCAGTGTGTATTTTATACTTAAAATGCATCTCAACTGGGACAAGGCACATTTCAAGTTACCAAACTCAGCTAATGGCTACTGTATTAGACAGGAAAAAAAAAGGCTGTTAGAGAAAGGAATCTTGTTTAACACTGAATACACACTGCTTTGCTTAACAAGCATGCCTAGAATGTCACACATATCATGTATACAATTAGTCAAAATTCTCTGAAAGATGCTTTCTAACCTTTAAATGCTCTACTGCTCTATATTTGATTTAGATAAAGTAACAGATATTACAAGTATATCAAACAGAAGTATTTTAATGCAGAGAACATGTCAATTTAACTAACACTTTATTTATAAATTCTACAACAGTGACAGAACACGTATAGCTAAAAAAGCTATTTCTTCCTTTAGATACGTTGCAATACGTCTCTCTACTCCCAAATAAACAACTCTAAGTGAAAAGGTTAAATATATCCTTACAGTACTATACTAGATTGTCATCTTTGTCTTACACCCACAATTTCATAATGTGGTTAAATAGCAAAATGTTAATCTTATAACTGTTACTAAAGGACTGTACTTCTGTAATAATATGGGAGAAAATGCTGGGAGGGAATGGTGGTAGAAGAAAATGGGGAGGGAGAAGAGGGCAAGGGGGGAATCTCTACCTGCAAAAATGTATCAAGGTAATAAAAAAAATTTTTTAAAGTGATTACTTTCTACTTGAAAGAAAAAAGATCCACCCTACCTTTCAACTGACAAGAATTATCGCAGCAGTAACCTTGCAGGGCTCTTAAAATCACTACTAAATTCAAAACTACCTAGGATGGGACAGGAGTTTGACAAAGCTGTTTTTTTCCTTAAAGGTTTAGTTACTTTAAAAAAAAAAAAAAAGAGTTCCAAAGAGGAAGAGATGAGGACAGAGGACGACGGGGGGGGGGGGGGGGGGGGTGTGTGCAGTTAGGAGGGCGGAGATCTGTCTGCTGGTTCATTCTACAAATGGCCACAATGGCAGTTAAAATAGACTGGGATTGGTGGAAGAATCCACCATGGGGAGAGGGTTGGGGGAGGGGGAGGGGGAATCCCAGTGCCTAAAAAACTGTGTCACATAATACAATGTAATAAAAAAAAAATAGGCTAGGATCTGCCCATGTGGGAGCACCTGAGTTCAAAACACACCTCTGGCTCCTGGGTCCAATTTCCTAATGCAAACCTTGGAAAGCAGTAGGTAAAGCCTCAATTAACCAAGTCCTGGATTGAATTCTCAACTCCTAGATTCAGAGATTGTGGGTATCTGGAGACTGAACCAGCAGCCTGGAGCACCCTCTTCCTCTTCTTCTCTCTCTGTAACTCGGCCTTTCAAACAAAAATAAGTAAACCTTTTTTTAGGTGTCTGGCTGGCTCTGCTATAGACTAGCTACCCTATCCTTTGTACAGTAAACTTTCATTGCCTTAGTTTCATCAATAATAAAATGAAGGACACATTAGCTACCACACAAATTCATTTTGAGGACCAAATGAGATAATACATTATAAGTTACAAGCTCAGGATACTGAAGTATTTCATTAGGCTGTATACAGCATGCATCTTTACTCCCAAGTAACAGTAGGATTTCTACTTAATTTTTTTTTAAGATTTTATTTTTATTGGAAAGGCGGATATACAGAGAAGAGAGAGAAGAAGATCTTCCATCCGATGACTCACTCCCCAAGTGAGCACAACGGCCCATGCTATGCCGATCCGAAGCCAGGAGCCTCTTCTGGGTCTCCCACACGGGTGCAGGGTCCCAAAGCTTTGGGCCATCCTTGACTGCTTTCCCAGGCCACAAGCAGGGAACTGGATGGGAAGCGGGGCCACTGGGATTAGAATCGGCTCCCATATGGGATCCCGGGGTGTGCAAGGCGAGGACCTTAACCACTGCGCCATCGCGCCAGGCCCCTACTTAACTTTTACTTACATATTTATATCTCAGAATGTTAAGCTTGTAACGGTGAAGAATAACTACATTACTATGACAACTTGGGGAGAAATAAGAAGAGTATTTACAGCCCAGGGGGAAAGAGGATCCCAGCACTTCTAAGCCTGTTATCATGAAAAATAAGAAATCTACTCCTGTTATATAAAATTTAAAAATAAATAAATAAGTAAGTCAGTGAAAGAAAAGGAAGCATTTCACAAGTAAAAGATATGTTCCTACAGCAGTTGGTGTCATCAAAACACAGAATTTCTTCCTGGAACAGAATCCATGACTGAAAAGAACACTTAGTTCTTAGTAGAACACTTAGTAGACAACCCAAACCTTAGTAGCACCATCAGAACACCTACAGCAGGAACACACTGATCAGCCCAGGAAAAATAAGAGAAATAGCGAGTACAACTTCAAAAAGATAATGATATTGATCGTAATAAAACAAAGATTTCAGTCATCACCAAGTGCTCTATATCCAGATAAAACCCAGAATCTATATTTATTCTTTCACAAAATTACATATAATTATCACATGTCTGAAACAATTAGAATGACTTAAGTCATATTCCTTATGTGTATTTAGTAAGTTCAATATGGGTAGGTAGATAAAGCAGAGAACTACCTACTAGGGTCCCATTATATTTCTAAGCACACTTCACAGCAATACAGTTTAAGCAGAATTTGATAAACGTACTTAATACCTCCTCTGTATATCACTATTACACCGAAACAGATCCCCAGGGAAAATTTTCAAATTATTAATCCTCACTTCAACTTATTAAGCCATATAAAATCTTGAAATTAAAGTGAACCATAAGAATAAGTATATCACCTGTCTTCTTGAAGTTAAAGGTGTTGATCCAAGTCCTGGGCTAGAAATGTCATCATATATACTTCTAACAGGTGGAGCTCCACTTTTATCTTTATGAGCAGGTACAACTGGTTGTGGTGGTGATCCTCCTACAATATACAAAGCATACAATCAGGTGACAAAGTAAATAATCTTTCACTTTTCTGCTAATTATTTAGGTTTTGAAGTACTGACTCTCATAATACTTTTCAAACTTTGAATAGACATAAGAGTCACCTGGGGAAGCTTGTTAAAATTTAGACTAATTCAGAAGGTGTGGGGTGAAACTCAAAATTATGCAGGAATAACAAGCCCGCAGTGATGGCCACACAGGATGCATAGTCTGTGCTTGGTATAACAGGTCTCAAAACAAGTAAGCAATATCAATTGTAGCTTTTGCAAATCACATGGAATTTTGCTTTCTTTACAAAATATTTAACATTTCAATATACAGCTTCACTTCATTTCTCACCTTAGGTATTAAACAGATCCACTCTATGTATATCTAAACAATTACAAAATTCTTAAAGTTACAACTGTCAGAGCCTATTCACATTTCTAACAATAGAAATACATTTAAATACATAATAAAAATACAGAGAAAGGACTTTCACGACATCAAGATTTTTTTTTAAGTCAGAGAGCATGCAACTCGAACAGTTTTGCAGCCCAAGGCCTCTGTAAAAACACAGTGACTGAGCCTAGAGAATATACCTAAAGATATTTAGAGCACACACTATAGAAAACATTAGCTAGGGCTTAAAGTACTGCTCCACCACTAACAAGCAAGCTTTGGCTAATCATGTAATTTGTTCCATCTTTGGAAAAAAATGGACATTCACAAGTTTAAGTTGATTTTTAGAAATGAAATGATAGAGATAATAAAATGATTAAAACACTACATGGCTCAAAAAAGGAATTTAACATACAGTGACTACACTTACACATTTGAAATTTTAAAGTATCCAGAAAATAATGTTCCTAAAACAGTAAGCCTAAAATGGAGTTCCAACTCCCAGCTGTGGCCTGGATCTAACCCAGACACTGGGCTGTTTGGGAAGTAAACCAGCAGATGGAAAATGTCTTGTTCTCTGCTGTTCTTCCTTTAAAATAAATAAATCTTGAAAAAATTAGAATAAACCACCTTACACAAAATCACACTTTATAGAACAATTAAAGTAAGAAGAGCGTCCATTTAAACATGTTTAAAAATTAACTGAAAATTGAAATTTCCTTTTTATAACTATTCCTCACCATTCAACTAAAATGGTAGTTATCTTTTAAGACAGTCTTGATTTTAAAAACAAAAAAAAGACCTGTCACAAATGTAGTTACAAGACTTTGTGATGACAACTATACATTCTGCCAGTTTCCAAAGTATTTTAATTAAACACACTAAAAATAAGAATCTTATGAGTTGAATTCATAGCTATAAAACTTCAAATAAAATCTTAATGAGTACCTGCTTTTCTCACATTTTAGGACAAATTACTGAATTCAGCTGAAGTTAAAGGACTATATTATTAGGAAGCGAATCAAAAAGAAGACTTTCTGCCATTCAAATAAATATTTTTTAAAGTATCTCTAAAGTAGGAAAATGTTCTAAACAGTGGCATTTTGGAATTCTGCCATATTTAGGGATTTTCCTTCATTGTGGAAGCTATTAGAATAATAGTGATTTTTTTGCAACCAAAGGTATTTTAGATTCAATTAAATTCAGCTTATACACTTTTATGCATGGTGTATTAAACTACAATGTATAACGCTAATATCTCTACATCAAGAGCCTTAAAATCATGGGTTTGCTTATTATAGACGTACTGTTTAACTTTCTTAAGTAAACATGGAGGTGAGGATGAATATTGTGCCAAATCATGTAAAATTCTACTATGTGAAATGATATGCTATTACACTATCTGAAGCAATTCACATACCGGCAAGTAAAGGTGATCTCATTTCCATAACTCCTACTGAAGGACCACTGATTGATCGAGGCTGCGGTGCCACAGGAGCTGGTAAATCCCCCATTAAAAATCCAGGTAAGAACTGGGCGTTAACTCCCAGCTTTGGAGATGTAGGTGAGCCCAGCATCATTGGCTCAGATCCTAAATGAATCAAAACAAACATAAAACGACTCAGAGACATAGCTCTGTCATATAAAAAAGGTGTAAAAAAACAAGCATAATTTTGAAAATGCATTCACTACTCTTACGTATTATATAGGACTATTGTTGAATTTATTTTAAAAATCAATAAAAATTTTAGAAAAATATAAAACTGTTGGATTCATATTTCACAGTGTACAGTTTTTTACATAATTTAACAGGTTTAAAAATCAATACTTATTTTTAAACTAAATATATTTAGTTTAGTATCTAAAATAATCCTTAATATAAACAGAATAATTTTTTAAAGATTTATATAAGAAAGCCCAGAGTGATGGTTCAATGTTTAAATTCTCACTGGGATCCCATATGGGTGCTGGGGCACAAACTGGTCATGTCCCAGCTGCTCCACTTCCCTTCCAGTTCCCTCCCTGCAGCCTGGGAAAGCAGCAGAGGATGGCCCCAAGCCTTGGGATCCAGCACCCATCCAGGAGACCCAGAACAGGCTCCTGGCTTCCACTCAGCTTAGCTCTGGCTATTGCAGACAAATTGTGTGGGGGAGTGGGAGGGGCAGTAAATCAGCAGACAGAAGATCTTTCTGTAAATCTGCTTTTCCAATAAAAATAAATCTTTAAAAAAGATCATTATTAAGGAATACTATGATCAATAAAATTTCTCTTATGTAATACTAGGAAAGAACTGATGCATCACAAACAATTCAAAATTAATCTTCAAGATTTACAGGATAGTCTCAAAAAAATAAAGCAGCTATAAATTATTCTTAAATTTTCAGAGCAGAATCATACCATAGAAGAAACGACTGTGAACAAGTTGTCTCAGCTAAATGGGCAGTAAAAGTGGCATCCACTCAGAGATTTTATCACAATCATAGCAAGTACAGCACAAGGCCCAGTAATAAACAGTGAGCACTCAATAAATACTAGCCATTGTTTTTCTACTAGCTTCTTTTAAAAAAACAAACAAAAAACTTTTATTTGAAAGGCGGAGTTACAGAGAAAGAAGAAAAGGCAGAAATTTTCCATCCATTGGTTTACTCACTAAATGCCCACTATGGCCAGAGCTGGGCCAGTCAGAAGCAAGGAGCCTGGAGATTCTTCCAGATCTCCCACCTGTGTGCAGGGGACAGGATTTGGATCATCTTTTTGCTGTTCCCAGAACATCAGCTGGGAGCCGGATGCAAGGTGGAACAGCCAGGACTGTGTCCCAAGTGGAGAATTAATTCGCTGCGCTATCACCCAGGATCCATCCCTTCATTAGTTTATTACAACAGCAAAACCAAGTGTTTAAAGTGTAAAACGAAGACTTAATTTCTCAACTAGATGACAAGCCTGAGTTTGATTCATAGCAGTAAGGTACCATACTTGATACGTGATCTATACAAGTTTCATTAACTGCTATGTAACTTCTAAATAACCTCAGGTATTTTGCTTCTTGCTATCCAATAACTTTTGATTACTCTTCCTCTAAGTTATCACAGTTGTGATCACACAAGTGTTAAAAAAAAAAAAAGGCACGATAGCATAGCAGCTAAAGTCCTCACCTTGAACACACCAGGATCCCATATGGGTGTCAGTTCTAATCCCGCCAGCCCCGATTCTCATCCAGCTCCCGGCCTATGGCCTAGGAAAGCAGGCGAGGACTGCCCAAAGCTTTGGGACCCTGCATCTGCGTGGGAGACCCTGAGGAAGTTCCAGGCTTCGGATTGGCTCAGCTCCAGCTGTTGCAGTCACTTGGGGAGTGAACCAGTGGATGGAAGATCTTCCTCTCTGTCTCTCTTCCTATCTGTATATATGCCTTTCCAATAAAAATAAACCTTTTTTTAAAAGGCAAAAAGAGAAAAGGTAGGTACTCAAGAAATGCATAAAGCAAAATTACTTTGTAATTACCTTATCCTATGCTAGCTACTATGTTACATGATACTATGTAATTCGAAAGAACATTTGCTAAACTGTAATCATTAAGTAACAAAAGCATACTGAACATTTAGAAAACCATAATAACATACAAAAATTTTGATAACACTGCAAATTACCTTCATTCTGCAAACCCCCTTCCCCAAATTATGACAAATACAGTAATAAGTCAATAAAAATTCTTAACATTCTCAGAAATACAACGATAAGAAGGGCATGCAAGTCTCTTAACAGGTCACTAACCTCGGTTGAGGCTAGAATTTCACTTAAAGACCAAGCTCGGCCAACAGATTCCTCAAGCTTGAAGTTCCATTTCACGCTCTGTGTTCCTAAATTATTTTAAAATGTCTACTGTCTTACCCAGGTACGTTTTGTTAAACCCTTATTCTTAACGCAGCAACAGCTGTCAGGAAAAATACTACACCAGCATATCTGCCAAAAATGGCCTTATATCCGCAAATGTCAGATTTCTGGCCAGGCAACAAGGAGTGAAGAGAATCCTGACATTTGTAACCCCAACACACATGCCCTCCACAATGCGTGCTGAATCAGAAAACTCTGAACTGAAAACGAATAGCTTTCCTATCTCCAAAATAAAGGAAAAAATAAACCAAGTCAACATAAGGACAAAAGTTTAATGTAGCAGAGTATCCGCAACATTGATGTCCTGCCTCTTTTTTTTTTTTTTGACACGCTAAAAACAGTTGAAGTCAAAGAACTTTGCAAACAGATAATACCTGCCCTTCAAATCTTAAAAAAAAAAAAAATGAAACTCTACAGCAAAACTCAACAAAGAAAAAGGGGTGGAGGAAGATAAGCAGGTTGTCAACTTTGGTATATTTTTTTCTTCAAAGACTTTCTTCAACAAAGCTTTCCAAAATCATAACGTGACCTCGCCCAGCCAAGTCCCTTTCCCAAAGCCGGAAGCGTGGGAAACCGCGGAAAACTGAACAGCGTGTTTATTATTGTGGCGGCTGGGTGCTAGACGTCCCACAGCTGGGTGTCACCCTCCGTGGGGAGCACCCACGGCCGGGTGACGAGACGCCGGACAAGCGGGGAGCACCCACGGCCGGGTGACGCGACGCCGGACAAGAGGGGAGCACCCACAACCGGGTGAGAGGACTTCGGCCAGGTGGGAGCACCCATGGCCGGGTGACAGGACTTCGGCCAGGTGGGAGCACCCACGGCCGGGTGCCGCCTACCCACGTGCCAGCCGGGCAGGTTCCTCCCCAGGACCCCCCTGCCAGCTCCGCCTTCAGGGGCTCGGGGCCGCACCTCCAGGCGGCCGGCTGCTCACCCTCTCAGGGCCCACAGCCTCGGGAGCCACAAGGTGACGACGCCCGCCACCCCGGCGGCCTCGGGATCTGGGGAGACTCTGCAGCTCCCTCCCCAGCACCCCGCCGACCAAAGCAGCGGACGAGAACCCGGCGACTGCCTTCCGGCCTTGCCCGCTTTCAACGGCTGCAAAGTGATGGCAGAGCTGGCAAGAAGCAGCACTTTTCCACTCACCCAGCGTGGGCACCTGAGGATCCACAGCGAATGCTGCCATCGCCCCGGCGGCTGCTACTTTTATTCCCGGACGCTCCCAATTTTCAAAAATGGCGGAAGCTGTCCCCGCGGCGCGTTACCTTGTGGCGTGACGTAACTTCCGGACACGCGCCTTTCTTAGGCTGTGGATGTGGGAGCCATTTTGGAATAGGGCAATCGATGGTGAAAGTTTTTCTATTAGGACTGTCAGCTGTGGGATAGAATTGTGGTTCCAGGAACATTCGTCACGTTGATGAGCCTTCTGATGGGTGTGTATCTGAGTTTCAAAGAAGCATTGATTCTTTTCTCACTTGTTCCCCAACTATGTGTTTTGCTAGTGTTTTGTCATGTGTTTTTCAGAGTAACACTTGTGAAAATTGGCATAGGGACAATTGGGGCCTCTCGCCAGTCTCGATTTCTAGGCTTGGCACGTGACTTATTTCTCGAAGAGGTGTGTAACTTTATTGTTTATTTTAAACTGTAAGATAGGCAAAATTTAACTCTTTAGCACAACTTGTAATACATTCTTTTATTACACGTGAGTAAAATGGAGAGAAAACTAAGAAACCCATGTGTAAATGAGTAAATACGGGACAGTAATGCACACTCCTGCCCCCACCACGGAATCGCGTGTGCCCCTACCTGTGCCATCCACTGGCTTTTCTTTTCGCTAAGCCTCTTTTGTATATTCACCACGGACATTCTATGAATTCTCCTTAAAAATCCACTCATAATCCATTATTTGCTCTGACATTCCCTAAAATCCCAAATCTGGCAAGAATCGTCATTGGAATGAGGCAACAATTCCCTCATCAACCTTTAAGCCCACTTAGTGATCAAACTCAACTTTGTAAATGTATGTGAATTGAATTGTGTCCACAAAAGTAAGTTGTATTCAATTTCCGACCTCCCTGCCAGTGAGAAGCTGAGCCGGTTTAGAAATAGGATCACTGCTGATAGAATCGAGTTCAGAGATCATGCTTCCTCACCACAACCTTGGAACCTAAAACAAAACAAAATTGTCTGCAATACTTCTGGAGGCCAAAATTCCAAAGTGCGTTTCCTTGGGGCTAAAATCTCTGCTTCCTTGCCTTTTCTGGCTGCCTGATGCACCTCCCTGTAGCTTCTACACCATCCTATGTCATTTTCCAGCAGTGCCCTGCCTGGTGCAGCCTCCGCAGCTGCTTGGATCACAAGCAGCTAAACGCCCTAGGATTCCTCTTCTAGGATACAAGTTACATTTAGGGCTCACCACATAATGCAAGACAATTTTCCCGTTTCAATACCCAGCTGGGATGATTGAATTAATCAGCTATGCAAAACGTTTTTTGTCACAAAAGGTAATGTTCACAGGTTCCCAAAGTTAAAGTGTGACTATTTGGGGAGACCAACACTCAGCCCAGTAGTACACAGCAATTCATTTGTTAGCATTAAGCTATCAAAAAAGATTCACCAGTGAAGGAATTTACATACAAAGTGTACTCTAACCAACCAAAAAAGAATAAACCTTGATTAAAAGAATCAGATGAATTTGATTTATAAATGTGTATATTGACCTAGAGAGATCCCTGAGAGCAATGCACAGTAATTTGAAAACAAATCTCGAAGGCATATTTTCATTTTTATTTAATAGAAAGATACATTTGGTTACAGATACAAGAGAGAATCTGTTTAAGAGAAGGAGCAGAGTTGGAAAACTGCGCCAAATTGTAAACAACGAAGATGAAGTAGCAAAATAGTGTGCAAGTTGGAGAATTGAAAAAGAGACTCTAACTTATGTAATAGTGCTTGATCAGAGGTTTTGTTTACTATGCTTGGGATTTTTTAAATTGATAGCTTTTTGCCTTATCAAAGTTGTTTCCCTTGGTTCACCTGTGTTTAAATCTTTTCCCCTTTTAATTGGTTCTTTCCTTACAAAGCTGTAAAGATGCCTAATTCCCCCTAACCTCAGGCTTTCCCTGGGCCTTGACCCTCCTCCTAATTTCTAATTGCTCTCACACTTTGTCTTAAAGATCACAAAGAAGAGTTGGCAGACTTTATCAATCTGTTTTCACCTCTCATGTTTTCATTTGGTGCTTACAGACTGTGTCAATCCTCTTCTGAAATCAAACTTCTGACCTCGACCATTTTTTCCCTAATTAACAGATTATACTTCTATTTGTTAAGACCTGCAACGTTCAATAGTGTGGACAAATATTTTCCTAAATATTTTTTGTTGTTGTTTTGATATTTCAAAGACACGTCTAAAACAATACCCACTTATTGTCACATCATGTGCACCTTAGGGTAGATAGTTGATAACTCTGAACAAAAAAAAGAAATTTCCTCTGCCTCCCCCACCATGTAATCCAAGTTCTCCAATTACTCTCCTTTGCAGACCTTCATCTTATGATCAGATCTCACATTGTATCCCTCCCTCAGCATTGCCCTGCCTAGCTTACCTGCACATATTCGCTTACAAAGTCTTCAACAAACAGCTCAAGCCTGCCATTTAAACCCACCCCAGCTGCGCCAGCTCCTCTATTCAACTCCAGAACACCTGCTACATTAGGTCTGCTACTTATTTACTGCAAGTCCTCAGCCCCAAGAATGGATTTTCTTTAGACCTACACTAAAACTTCCTTTTCTATTTTTCTTTAAAAAAAAAATCAAAAAATGAATAATAAACTCTAAAATAAGCATTAAAGAAAGGATAGTAATTGGACATAACTAACCCATTTGATGAAATCTTGTATGTTTTTATATGTTTAAAATCATAACTTTTTAAATGTTAAAATTTGTTCGGCCCAGCACAGTAGCCTAGTGTCTAAAGTCCTCACCTTGCATGCGTCACGATCCCATATGGGTACTGGTTTAGTTCCCAGCCACTCCACTTTCCATTCAGCTCCCTGCTTGTGGCCTGGGAAAGCAGTCGAGGACGGCTCAAAACCTTGGGACCCCGCAGGGAAACCCTGGCTCCTGGCTTCAGATTGGCTCAGCTCTGGCCATGGCAGCCACTTGGAGAATGAGCCAGCAGATGGAAGATCTTTCTCTCTGTCTCTCCTCTCTGTAAATCCAAGTTTCCAATAAAAAATAATTTAAAACCATATTTATTTTTATTTGCAACACAAAATCAGAGAAGAGATACTCCCAGTTCACTCCCTAAACAGCTGCAATAGCCAGAGTTGAGCCAGACAGAAACCAGAAACCAGAAGCCAGGAGCCTCTTTCAAGTCTCTGATGTGACTGCAGTGGGCTCTCCTCTGCTGCCTTCCCAGGCTATTAGAAGGCAGCTGGATCAGAAGTGCACCCAGGGCCTGGCACTGTAGCCTAGCCGCTAAAGTCTTTGTCTTATACACACCAGGATCCCATATGGGCACATGTTCGTATCCTGGCAGCCCTGCTTCCCATCCACCTCCCTATTTGTGGCCTGGGAAAGCAGTCAAGGATGGTCCAAAGCTTTGGGATCGAGCATCTGTGTGTGAGACCCAGAAGAACCTCCTGGTTCTTGGCTATGGATCGGTGCAAAACCAGCCATTGCAGTCATTTGGGGAGTGAATCATCGGATGGAAGATCTTCCTCTCTGTCTCTCCTGCTCTCTGTATATCTGACTTCACAATAAAAATAAAATAAATTAGAAAAAAAAAAAAAAAGAAGTGCACCCATCCATATGGGGTGCTGGCTCAGAAATTAGAGGCTTAACACACAATGCCACAACACTAACCTGTAAAAGCATAACCTTTCACATCAGCTTTTTTTGAAAGGCAGGGAAGTAGAGAGAGACTGTCCAACTACTGGCTCACTCCTCCAATGGCTGCAACTATCAAGTCTGTGCAAGGCTAAAGCCAGGAGCCTGCACCACTCCATATGTAGCTTTCACTGTATTTCAACCTTCTTCTGAACTCAAACTTTGAGAATCAGAAACATGTAAAATATCAAAGCTTATTTTCAACCAAATTAAATTCAAAGAATTCACTACAAAACTGCCTGTGCTACCATATATACTGAATATTCATAAACTTATTTTTACACGGATAATATGCAACTTGTTGTTCTTAAGATCCTACTTTCAGTCTGTTCCATAAAACAAAGACAATTTTTTAATTTTTAAGTGAAGAAGGCCCAGCTACTCCACTTCCCATCCTGCTCCCTACATGTGGCCTGGGAAAGCAGTCGAGGATGGCCCAAAGCCTTGGGATCCTACACCCATTTGAAAGACTCAGAAGAAGCTCCTGGCTCCTGGCTTCAGATCGGCTCAGCTCCAGCTGTTGCAGCCACTCAGGGAGTGAAACAGTGGATGGAAGATCTTTTTCTCTGTCTCTCTTTCTCTTTAATAATAAATATAAATTTATTATATAAATTTAATAATAAATAATGAAGAATAAAATTCACCTGTAGTAAATTTTTTTTCTAAAGATGGAATCTGATGTCTTCAGGAAGAGAGAAAGAAGGAGCATCTTTTCATTCATGTTCTCATCTTAGCCTTTAGGCAGCTGGTGCAGCTCGATCTGTCATTCACTTAGACTGTGACGTCACATAAAGCACAAAGGGGAGGCATGACTACATCAGACTCAGAGTGATCTCCGAAAGATTCATCATGTTTAAGATATAGAGATCCTCTCCAGAAAAATTAAAATTTATTTGTTGTTAATTGTGTTATCTCACCTCTACAGACAATCATGACCAAAGCCATGTGTGGATAAGCGCTCCATGGCATAATAGGCTAAGCTTCTTTCTGAGACACTGGCAACCATATGGTCTGAGTGTCAGCGACAGCACTTCTGATTCAGCTCCTTGCTTGTGGCTTGGGAAAGCAAGAGAGGATGACTCAAGTGCTTGAGTCCCTGCATGCCTGTGGGAGACCCAGTAGAAGCTTTGGCTCCTGGCTTTGGATTAATTGAGTTCTAGCCATTGTGTTCATCTGGGGAGTGAACAGAAGATAGAAGTTTCTCTCTCTCCACCCGCCTCTGTCTTTGTCTCTCCTCTCTGTAACTCCACCTCTCAAATAGGAATCTGGGTCTCCCACACGTGTGGGGAGCCATGCAGTTGGGTCAGATGGCATGGGTGTGTGATGAGCACCACTCCTCAGCTAGCAAGGCTACGAGGAGCTTCTGGCTG